TTTTAAGTGACTCTTCTCCACTGAATAATCATCTCCATCTCCTTCCTCCAGGCCTTGTTGCTACGGATAAACAAATCTGTGCTCTGGAGTTGCAGGCTAATATATCATCACTTTCAACTGATTGAAGGTGGTCATTGGTGAGAATGCAGACATAAGGATATGTTGGCAAGTTAAATAGATGATTCAGGGCCAGATCCTGGGAGAGAGAGAAGGCACAGGGGCATGCTCAGGTCAGAGTATGGGTAGAAGAAGTCAAAATTTGAACAAGGGGTCTAAGATCATGGGTACTACCAACAAGAATCAAAGTCTTCTAAAGCAGGGCCACTTTATATGCTTCTTTTCAGACCACATCTTCCCCACTCTCAGAGTATAGGAATGAGTGGCTGAAGAATAGAGGGAGAGAGTGGAGATAGGGGAACTCCTTGTATAGGCCAAAGAATAAGGATTTCTGTTTTCATTTCTAGTTTCAGCTACCTTTTGTTGGGTTAAATTAGAGTGTCTTATTTTCCTTAGTGCTTACTAGTAAATGATAATGCAATTACATTTTTATGAGTATATTTACCTGTCAGAGACTCACAGGATGTGAGAGCTGGCAGATTTCTTAGGGATTATTCATATTACCTTTATTTTATTTATGAGAGAATGGAGGCCCAGTGAGATTGCTAAGTGTTATTATTAGGAGTATTTATGTTATAGACAATAAACTAAACTCTAACAAAGAAGGGAATGTATTGGCTCATACAGCTGGCAAGTATGAAGTAACAGTTTCAGGTATGGCTCGATCTAGCTGCTCACTGCTTAACAATGTAACTGAGGGTCTTCTTATTTTCCATTTTCCCATTCTGTCTTATTCCACTCCCTGGCAATCTAGTTTCTATCCTTGTGGTCACATGTGGCTACATTAATTCTAGACCTTACATTATTGATAGGCACTACAGCATGGAAAGGAATCTTTATCAGAAGCCCTTGAAAATGTCTTCTCAAATTGCATCGCCTTGACTAGGTTTCATGTCTGCCTTTGAACTAATTTCTGTAACCAAAAAGATGGGATAGAATGATTGCTTTAAGCCTATCAGGCCCAACTCCCGGGCTCAGCTTACATAAGACAACATGGGTTAAAATGGAGAAAAAGTGGTTTTCCAAAGAAATGTTGGGGTTCTGTTGGTGTGATAATGTAGGAATGGATACTGGAGAGGGTGACTGCAAGTGTCCAAGGGCAGTGACTTACCCAAGGTCAAGCAGCTACTCAAGGCCAAGTCGAGACTAGAACCCAGCTCTCCTCATTCGGTGTCTGAATATGGATGGCTATATAATCCCACTTAAGGTAATACATGTTTCACAATAGACATCCAAATGGAACTATGGATTTGCTTGTTATATTCTTTATTCTTCAAGTATAATTACAAATAAGTACAAAAACACACCTTGAGAAAGGAATTAAGAAGTACAAATTGCCAATTATAAAAACAGTCATAGGGATGCAACATATAGCATAGGGAATATAGGCAATAATATTGTAATAACTATGTATGGTGTCACATGGGTACTAGACTTATTGGAGTAAGTACTTCGTAAGTTATATAAATGTCTAATCACTATACTGTACACCTGAAACTAATATAATATTGTATGTTAATGGTAATAAATGTATATATACTGGAAATAAATGTATATATACTGGAAATAAATATAACAAGTCTAAACTCTGCAACAAAATTTTAATATCTTGAAATAACATAAAACTAGGCATATTCTGGAAAGAAAAAAAAAAACCACCACCAATAACACACACCTTGCCATTTAGTCACAATAATGAGTACAACTGTCTGAGTTACTTAATTTTGCATCTCATTAAGCCATGAAGGCTTTTGGAAGAAATTGAACAGATTTTAGAGATGAGAGCTATATCATTTAAATAAGAGCCCTTTAGACTTCCTGAGGTTTTGCCACTCAGCCTTCTGAAATGTTTTTCAGAATTGGAATATGGTTTTTGGACAAACTGTATGAGATGCCTTAGGCCTGAAGCTTTGCCTTTCATCTCTTTGGAAAAAATGCTTCTTAATGTCCCTGATTGAGATCCTTTTCTCTTATTCAGGAATTACAGAGGCAAAGAAGAAGAAAGGAAGGGTTCTGAGGACCTGCCATGTGCCAGGCAGTGTGCTAAGCACTAAGGATACAGAATAGAAGGGTCCAGTCCTCAAAGAACTCCAAATTTACTGGGAGAGACAGATAATTAAATGGAAAAGTAAAGTACTATGACATGAAGTGCAATAATAGGTGGAAGAATAGGTGCTTTGAGAACATAGAGGAAGGTAGAATGTTAGGCGCAGGGAAGAGCCAGAAACATCTTTCAGAAGAACTCTTTAAAGGATGGTGTAAGTTAGCTGGGAAAAAAACAGGGAAAGGTAGTTTACACAAAGGGGACTCATGAACACTGAGGCATGACAGTTTACAATGAGTTTCCATGAAACTCCAAGTAATTCAAAAGGTTAAAAATTTAAAGGCAGGAAGTGACGAGAAAAGATGTGGGAGAGGCAGGCAGGGCCTGGGTCACAGAGCTTGATGTCTATCCAATGGGTGACAGGATGCCTCTAAATAGTAGGTAAAGACATGGTTTGTGTCTTAGACATATTTCTGTATCAGTTAGGTTCTATGATTTTAGGCAACTCTGGTTAATTTCCCCACAAAGAAGTACAATGGAGTGATATGGGATAAATCAGAAAACGGAAGGAAAAGCTGCAGAATCCAGGCTCTGAAAGGAGCTCCCAGGACAGAAATAGCAGTTGATTGGCAGTCCTCTTGATCATGAAGACTCAGGTCCACCTACCTTCAGTTTTTATGTCGTTCTGTCTAGGGTTCAAATTCCAGATGAAGGATGTCTTGAGGGCACACCCAACCTGAGCCAGGTTAAATCAGTTTCTTGATTGGCAGTTTTGCCAAGCCTAGATCTCATGGGGGAGGGTGGGTTCTTAAAGCAGAATCAGGATGTTGATACCATAAGAAAAAGGAATGCCAGCTATGTCAGCTAAATCAATAGGTGTCCACTTCACCAGCTGTTTGGAATCTAGATTTGAAAGGGACAAAAGATGAAGGGAACAAGTAGAAAAGAACCATGGGATTTAAGAACATTCACGGGATAAAAACTGGTGGTTGACTCTAGAAGAGAGAAGAAATCAAGGACGACTCCCAGGTTCTAGCATGCAACAATAGGTAGCAATACTGGAGAGAAAGTAGAGGAAGGGGAGGAGAGATGACAAATTGCGTAGGACACACCGAGTTTGGGAAACCAAAGAGACATCAGGTTGTTGTTATAATTTGTGAAGCACAGTCATTGAACTCATGGACATGGACAATATAATCTAGGAAGGATTTCGGAGGGAGCCATGGAGAAAATGATATTTAAAATAGGCTTGCCAAAGAAGGTCAAAATACAGAAAGACTGGAGAGGAGGAGGAGAACCAGGAATGTTCAGGGTCACAGAAAGCTGAGATTCAAGGAGAGAGCAGATTTGAGCTCTGGTGGGGGCAGACGGCACATTCTAGGGAACTAATATATAAGTGGGAGATGAGGAAGTGGGATTAAAAACATGTAGGCCACCCCTGTAAGAATCTTGGATGAGAAGGGCTGGGAAACAGCATAGTAGTTAGAAGTAGCTACAATGTCCAGGGAGATTTTTTATTTTATTTTATTTTTTTTCTGGTTGATTTTTTTTTTAAGTTGAGGTACAATTGACATACCATAAAATTCCTCCTTAAAGTATATTATTCAGTGGCTTTTAGTATATTAACAAAGCTGTGCAATTACCACTTCTATCTAATTCCAGAATATTTTCCACTCTCCCCACGCCCCAAAGAAACCCCATGCCCATTAGCATTCACTCTCCATTTTCCTGTTCCTCCAGACCCAGCAACCACTAATCTACTTTTCATCTCTGGATTTGCCTGTTCTGGACATTTCATATAAATGCATTACTTATACATTATGTGGTCTTTTGTGTCTGGTTTCTTTCACTTAGTTTTCAACGTTTATCCATTAATAGCATGTAGCAGTACTTTACCTTTTTTTTTTGTTTTTTTTACCGTCCAATAATATTCGATTGTATGGATGAACTGTAATTTGGACGAACTGTTCATCAAATAATGAACATTCCAACTGTTTCCATTATCTGGCCATTATGAATATGCTATTAACACTTGTGTACAAGTCTTTGTGTACATATGTGTTTCCAGTTCCTACGAGTATATACTTAGGGGTGGAATTGCCGGGTCTCAGTTTGGAGAGACTTGATCTTGTTTACAAGCTGAGGGTACCTGAGAACCAGCAAAAGGGGTGGGGAGAGACAGAGAAGGATAGAGGAGGAGGCGGCGGCAGGAGCTGGATAAGGTTCACTTTCGTCAGCATCACTCACTTTCTCTGTTGGTACAACCCTAACGCCCTAACCTCACTGCATAACTACTGCCTCTGCACACGCAACACACTTGCTGACCAGGAAGCGAATCCTATGCGTGGATAAAGCACCCATAGACCCGCCGCGGATGCGTCCAAGCCGGTGGCTCGTTTTCTGCTGCAGTTCATAGTTTCGGAGTCTCCTGTGGTTAGAGTCTAGCCCATTCCGATTTGGTTTTCTCCTGTAGATTCATTCGCCGTGGAGTTTGAGTCTGATTCTGGTTCCTCAGGTCATTCCGGGGTCTCAGCCGTCAAGCACAAGGAACGACGCCTATTATCCGCGGTCGGACACCGCGAAAGCCAGCGCTCAGCGTTATACGTCGCCGGTCACAGCCATTGCGCACGCGCCGCACCCCTGCCAAGGAGTGGGCGGGGAGTGGGCGGGGCGGGTATTTCCAGGGCCAATCGGAAGCGAGCGCCCCCGCCCTCCCGGCCGGTGGACCCAGCTTGACCCCGGCGGTGGGCGGAGGAGGCGGGG